GCTTCTTTTGGGGTGTTTTGCTGCACGTTTCCATGGTATTCCTGAGTGTGGATCGGGGTTAACAAAGCGGTAACCCAGAGCCACACTCGGGAATACAGCGAACAGGTCTTACCTTGTCCACGATCCCCGCTGTGTCCTCCGGCGGCTGCCGACTTCTGGGTTCTGTCCCTTGCGAGCGGCCGAGTCGCAGGGGGGCGGAGCCGGCTGGAAGTTTAAAAGTAAAAAACTAAAAAAAAATATATATATGTTTTTAAAAATAGAGAAAATAAAGGAAAAAAAAATCATACCGCCAGTGAAATGCGCATTTCACTGAACGGAAAAACGTGCTAAAAAACGCTAAAACCCCCCGAAAAAAACGAGTTGAAAAATGAGCTACAGGTACTGTACCTTTTCAGGTGTGGACCGTTTTGTAGCGCGTTAGGGACGGGCGGAAATACGCCAAGGTGGGAAGGAGACCATTGAATACAATGGGATTTATATTTTTGAGCGTTTTGTAGAGCGTTCGTCGAGCGTAGAACGCACTACAAAACGTTCAGGTGTGAACGAGGGCTTAGGCTAAACTAATGTCGCGTCTCATGTCCCTACTGGAGTCCATGAGCTCAGGAGGAACTGCAGGCCAAGAGGTGATGGAGTGGAGTGGCCTACATCATCCATTCCTATGCCCCTCACCCTTCATAAACCAATCCTATCTTGCTTTCTAACAGTTGAAATTATGTGATTGGTGGCTCCTTCTCATCCTCTATAGAAGCACATCTTTTTGGTTGTGTGGACTTGTCTGATAACACATCCTACACCTTCACGCATTTCTTTATTTGCACCATACCTGCTCTGTTAAGTACTTTGGCCGGGCACCATGTAATTGGACATCTACCCTCCTGCCACCCACCCTCTGTTCTCTGTTATTCTGAACACTTTCAATACTTGTGTTATTTTCTGTCACTGCAGCTTTTCTCATCTCCACTCTACTGCATGGTTGTGTGTCTGAAGCCTCTGACTCCCCCTCTTGGGTTTCAGTAGTCTGTCCCTTTGATGTATGAATGTGAAGCCTCTCACTCCCTCTCATGTGTGGCTATTTCTATGCTTTCCCTAAACCTCACCACAGACATTATAACCTTACTGTACAATCTTCGATCTACCAACAAATGTAGTGCAAGGGCATGCCTGGTTGAAAACAAATGGATGCTAAAGCTTTGTATACAGTAGCAGATTTTTTTTGTTCAGCTTTAGGGCTGAACGAAAACATTTTTAACCGATTTCTCCATTCACACTAAACAGCATGGATGGAAAAAATCTACTGCTGCAGCTTTTGTATTCTGACAGTCAGCCCTGCCGGCTGTTTCTTCACCCGTGCCCGCTCTACTGCATTGCATTAATACGTTAAAGTGCTTTGCATTAAGGCAGCTTATTTATTTGAATGGGCTTCCGATGCACAAAAATGGGCAAAAAAATGTCCCTACAACTTCTTTCCCAATGCAGCTCACCACAAAATACAATAGAGAATTGCTGTACGCTGCAATGCAGGAGGTGTGATACCATAATATGCATGTTACCGAAAAGCAATAACATGAAGCAGAATTAAATATCTGATTTTGTTACAATCCCTTGAACCAGTGCACTTAGGGTTTAATTTATAAAACTTCTGCCCAGTGCATGAATTGTGAATTGTGTTCGCGTTGCACTAGCGCCTCTAAATGGTGCTGATGAGTCTGGGCATTTCCTATACTCGTCAGCGCCACCTAGGGGTGCTATTGCCATGCGAACAGGATCTGCCTGGATGTATGCAGTGCAAAAGTTTTATAAATTAAGCTCTCTCTTGGTGTATGTTAATTCAAAGTGGTATAATATGAGGGTTTGCAACCTAAATTAGCTAACATAATTACATTCCCAATTTATGAAATTGGTGGTTTGTGTTAAATAGCATTTAATAACAGAACAATGTACAAATATCAGCTGAGCCCTCAGAACAAGATATTTAGGTGCATAAAGCTTTCTTTGTCATCCAGAAAGGTACAAATTAGTAATTACTAAACTAATCACTGAACATTCAAAAGAAAAATTGGTATATACATGGAAAGAAAGAAAATATCCCAATTTAAGCACGCAGCTACATGTGTAGGCACAGCTGTTTCCTCTTCCAGTTTACAGTAGGGGCAGATGGAGTCAACATAGAAATATTCCAAAATTCTGTTAAAATCAATGTATCCTATTTTTTATTTTGAGAGATTTTATATTTTTACTGTTACTTTGTGAGTCGCAGCAGATTGCTGCAAATTCATTCTCCACAAAAAATAGCTTTGAGGAAAAATAAAAATAGCACTGGTTCAATATTTTTCAATCATTCCTGTATCAGAAGGACGTGTACTAATATAATCACACATATTCTGTGTTCTGTATCTTTCATATAATAAAAAAAGTTCTAGAAATATATTGATACAAAGATATCACTATGATAAGCTGCCTCATTGGCCAATATGAACATGCAGGCGTCAGGGGCAGGCAAACTTTGCCTATCTTAATTGCATGTGCCCATTAAAATAGAAGCACAGCTTCTTTGGCTTTACTTCTTATCTGTGTCACAGGAGTGCATTTATTAATATATGCCTGTGACCCAAAGTCAGCAGATGGTGAGCTACTGCCCCCTATCATCTGACAGTGCAGAGTCGCATCACAGTCAAAAAAGGTCCTAACAATATTGTGTGCGCAGCTGAGAGCCAGCTGTGCCCACCCCCTCCCCTGCCTGTTGCTCCAGTGAGAGCTGACCGATCAGCAGTTACATGATCACTCAGCTCTCAGTGTTAAGCCGGCATGCAACAGCAGCAGTTTACTCTCCCTGCACCTCTCCTTTAAGACATGGACTTAAAGGCTGCTACAGTAGAACCCTGACTGTCTCCTAGTAGTGCTAGCCCTTTCTCTCTAAGTCTAAGGGCCCATTGTTGTGCATTGTATTAGTGTGCATTGTGCCATGCGTTAACGTTCATTGCGTTAAAGTAGAACTGAAGCCAACATTTATTTTTTTCGTTTTGCAAGCTTTTTTTCCCTCTGTGTCCCATTGGGAAGATTTCCCTTTACTTCCTTTCTGATAGCCACAACAGGAAATGAAGGGAAATCTCTCCAAATGAGGGAAATCCCTGGTGGTCAGTATGGTCACTAGTACTAGTGTCCCCATTGGAAGATTTTCCATCTATTTTTGTTCTGATGTCAGCCAAAAATGTGAGATTTTCTTTGACTTTCAATTAATGATAATGGTCACCAGGTCAAATAGAGAGGGCGAATCTCCATAACAGGGACACAGGCAGCAATAAAAACTTGACAGGTGTTTTAATCTATCTCTATCCAAAGCTAAAAGAAGTTTTGGCTTCAGTTGCACTTTAATTTTGTATGGGCTGCCGATGCACAAGAATGGACAAAACAAAAGGGCATGCAACATTCTTTCTGATGTACAACACACAGTAGTGCATTACCATACATTGTGGTCCGCTGCATTGGAGCTACATTGCCGTTAGACATGTAAGCCGGCAAAAAAATGTGTTTTGCTTTTTGTATCGGATTTTTTGTTCTTTCGGGTTTCGGGTCTGAACGTCGTCTCATTTTTCAGATACGGATCTTTTGGAATTTCTTTTTAGTTTCAGATGGGGTTTTCTGATTGGCCAGAAAACAATCGCATGTCCGATTTTTTGTTTCAATTTGAATAAATTCAGATGATCCGACATTTTATTAAAAGAACATTCGGACTCATTTGCATTCCGTCTCATTGGAATTCGGACATGCAGGTGCATCCAATGTCCAAATTCGCCAAATTTTGTCTAAATTTGAATTCGGAGTGAAATTAAATTTACATGTCTAATTGAGGTGTTTTTTTGGGGTGTCACCCCCAACACATGTAAAATTGCAATTGCATTGCACTAGTGTTACTACAATGCATTGCAACCCTATGTTCTGGTGGCAGGGGCTTATGAGAGGCTAGTGTAAAGTCAGATTTCAGCTACTTAAACTAGCAGTATTTCAGATTACATTTAATGATCGTCAGGACAAATCACGCAAATGGTGATCTAGGCAGCAACAAAAGAATTTGCACGTTTAGACACAGTCTGTGGAATTCATAAAGACTGTTGCAGACATTTTATGAATTTTGGTGCATACTTGCATGTTGCTTTGTGTAATAAGTCTCTTGGTAACATGTACATGAATTTGTAGGAGGCATGGTGGTGGTGGTGGTGGTGGTGGTGCCCCCCACCACCACAAAGCATTATTGGTTGTTATGCATCTGAGCAACCACTGACACTGTGGAGCTGACAGCATCCTAGCAGCCAGGGACACTGTTCAGCCAACAGCATCCTAGCAACCAGTGATGCTGTTCAGCCAACAGCATCCTAGCAACCAGTGAAAGGTGTGGGGGGGGGGGTGTCACATACAAATATGCCCTACTCTTTACTACTGACATGCAGTATATGCAAAACGGCCCCACTTTGTGCATTCTGCCCCATCTCTGTACACCAGCATAGAGTTGGCAGTTAGCTTAATTACCTCCAGTCTCCTTATGTTCAAATGGCTGTAATTACCTTCAAATGTGCCTCAGCCATAATGACACATTGTGAAGGTGGCACACATAAGAACTACAGTACCTGAATCTGTTGCACATGTCAGAATTAATAACAGAACTGTCGTAAGGCTTTCATGAATTAGGCAGGACTTTCTAATGCACCCATAACGCCAGAAAAGTGTCCCAAATGCTTTACTTAATCCTAGCCCGTATATATTAAAATATACTTTCCATATAATTTCTTTTGTGTTTGAGCTTCTAACTGCAGCTGTTCAGCAACAATGCCAGGTGCACTGGTAAAAATAGAATGCCTTCTAGTAGCTACAAAACTTTTAATAAAATATTACAATGAAAAGTATAGCATTACAAACAAGTAAAATGTGAAAATGATGTCAGTGTTTAGCTAATTTATCGATAGCACAGAACAGATTCCTTTAACACTCTATCATTCCATTTACAGGTACTAGCAACAGGACTGAGTGGCCTCTACTCATCATTACCCACTAAGCTGGATGACAAAGGGGAAGAGTGGCATTGCCTAGTTAAAGAGGACTGGCTCCAAGTTCCATCACTCATACAGTTCATGAATTCTCTTGAGTTTTGCAATGCAGTAATACAGGTTAGAAAACATGTTTTGTCACTCCAAACCACAGAGCTAATATACATGACATTTTTACCATTGTTATCCTTTTACTTGCTATGTCATTTTAGCGCCATGTATACAAATTAGCAGCATGTTTTACAATTAGAACTATGCATATCAAAAGAATGCCTCACCGGCCACATTTCTATTTATCTCCACAAGTTGCTAATAGTGTTTTTTGGCCTTTTATTATGTTATTTGGATTGTATAAAAATATAATTACATTCAATCCCTGTTCCTTTATAAAATAATTAATGATAAGTGTTTTGTTCATGAGAAATGTTTTGTTTAAAATGCTAAGCCTATTATTTTTATTGCCAAGCACCTTTAGATGCTAAAGAACATTTGAAGGTCGCTGTGATATTATTACTTCAGGTCTGAAATTACATTTCCAGAAACAGTGCATGTAGTTTATTATGCCTACCTTAGTAGTGTGTAATACTTAACTCCCTTGCGTTGTGTTATGCAGGTTGGGTAGCTGGCTCTCTGCTCTCACATGTTGTAAGCAGTGTTTTCCTTCTGACCTTATTCATTTCTGTTTATCACAGAAGTTTGAAAACCTCAAATTGCCTACAGAAGGGTTAAGTACTATGTTTCTCATAGCCTTTAGGATTACAAGCCCTACCATGTATCCCCAGATATTACGTGGTTACGTCTAATCACAGCTTAAAGGGAACATGGAGTTGCTTACATCACAAAGTGGGAGGTATTTACAAACCAAACATTATATATTATCGCCATGACACCATACTAAAAGTTTCAGACAGACCTCCCAACTTTCTGAGAAGAGGAACACCTTCCGGTACATTGTATTTAGGCTTCTGAAATAGCAAACAAGATAATTAAGAGATAAGAATAAGGTTGCAGTGCAGAATAACACATTTGGTAGTTAAATAGTACATTTTCATAGATATATGTACATTAGAGCCAAAAAGAGACACAAATGAGGAGGAAAGAGGTACAGAGGGATTTGGTTCCAAATGAGGGACAATACCTCTAAATGAGGGACAGTTGGGAGGTTTGGTAATGAAGTAATGATATGACATTTATTGCTACACATAAAAAGCAATGCTTCAAAGGCGGCAACACCTCTACAGGCCTGCAATTGTCGCTTCTTATGGATGACAAAAATATCCCACCATTACCTATCAGTATGGTGTGTTGGTGATGATATATAATCTTTGATGTCTGCTATGATGGCACCATTTGTCATTTCACCATGGCACCTGCTGGGTATGGTCTATTGATGTACAGAGTGCGCTGGATTGCTGCATTTTAAAATATTTACAAACCAGGGCTGTACTTGCCATAAGAACATTAGTCAACTAAATCACCGTGAACTCAAGGTTTCTTTGTGAATTGTCCTCTAGTGGTCAGAAATAGAGCTATAATACTCATACTTCTAACACTACTCCTCATGTGTCTCCTACCTGGTTTAAGATCTATATCTGTTTGAAGAGATATGTTCCAAATGGAATAATAACGTTTTTGGAAATGTATGCAAAAATGTTACAGTTATACAAATGAAGGGTTTACAAAAATATTAATTATTCTGCAAATTTATTTATAGCATAACTAAACCCCCCAAAATGTTTTATTTATGGCGGCTTACCAATCCTAAACTGTAGTAGCTGCATTAGTTTTTTTTTTCAGGCTAAGAACATTTTCAGTATGTACAGAAAATAAAGAGAAATGTTTTGCTAGAAATGGAGTGTCTTTCTGTCTTCAAGTTAGCTTAGCAAAAAGCACAAACAAACGTATGTTTCTTTTGTAAACTACTAATACCATCACCACTAATGTAATAGAGATGGACAAAGGCAGACATGCTTGAAGTAAGCCTGGGTGACAACCATGGCTCACTCTAGGCCTTTACAGATACTAATGGGGAAGTGAATGTATGCACCAAAGGACAGAAAGTGTATTTTACACTGAAATAATGCAGCATCACTTCTAAGTACAGGTAAAGAATATATTACATTTTTGGTTTGGGGTTTAGATATGCTTTAAAAATAATTTACATTCTGACTGGATAAGTCACTGTTTGTCGGGCTTTGCAGATTCTTAACATGGTTCCATTATTCTTACAAACCTGTAGCAGTGTGTAGAAGAAATACTTATCAGCACAGCTAAAGAAATGATCGTTTCTTATGGACTAGAAAAAAACATACAAACAACAGTAGAGCTAACAAGACATGGCATTCAGAGCCTGCATTTTTTCTTTTTCAGAAGCAGTGGCCTTTGTGCCAAACATATTCTCACAGTATACAGATCTCTAGATGTGAACTACATAGGTTTTGCCAGTCAAAATGATGTTGTGGTACTGCTGTAACAAATCCTAGTGTTATGTCAGGTAGGCGAGTAAATATTCAGCAGTCCTAAGCCATCGACACAAGTTTTTGTTGCTTAATATTATCAAGAGCTGGCCTAAGATATCTTTACAAGGTATTTCGACTAAATGCATAAGTATATAGTAGTTCCAACTCTGTGCTTTTCAGTAATGGCAAAATATATCTTAAATATTGAATACCAAAGCTTGGTAAATAATACCAATAAAGTTGGGCTATAGAAATGCTTTGCTGCCTGAACATGCTCGTTGTGACCTGACAGACAAGAAGGATAAGACCCCATTTAAATGATGGCCAATAGAACTATCTGAAAGCTGTGCCTTCTAGACTGTAATGTTCTTGTATTCTCTGTATTAATATTCTATGGTTCACAGTATCGAATGCTGCATAAAAAAACCTGGAAAATAAGGACGGAACACTCCCTTTTGTATCTTGCCATGAATTCCATTAAATGCATCGTGAAGTACTGTTTCAGTACCTTTTCCCAAATTCTGACTGTAAAGTATTTTATATAGAGATTCAAGAGAACCTGTTTTTTTGGCTGGATAGCCATTGCCCTTTCAAATTCATTCCGATAAAAATGGTAGGTCAGCCAGAGGTCCTTACTTAGCCATTTCTTCGGGCTCAGATTAGGATGGGTTGGATGGTTGCCTCTATCAGTGTTTCTGTGCATAGCTCTGACTGCAGTGAGCTCTGTTATTTTTGGGATAACTGGAGCAAGCAGGGGAATGCACTGCACTAAATGCATACCTCTCAGTTTTCTGAGATGCCTTTAACAGAAATAAAAAGGGGCAACTTTTATCACAAAGTATATAGGTAAAGGACATATCAGGATTTGGATTAAATGGTATACATCAATGCCTTTGGTAGTTTAGGGCTTCTCATTACACTAGTCATACGTTTAGAGTACATTACTGAGTCATTGTGCAATACTGCACATGATACATTCTCTAACAGTAGTTACGGAGTATGTAAAATGCGCTTTTCACTTTTCACAAACAAAAATTGCCATCAGTTACCTTGACCTATATTATCATACACCATAAATCTATTTCTGATATATTTATACGTACCAAATAACATTGAGGCATTAGAAAATGCATAATTAGCGTTTATTAATTGCTTCTATTTGCTGTCCTAAAATAGGCATATGTGGTAATACAAGGACAAATCAGTCTAATTCTATTAATCTTTTTGGATTGATATGAAGGGTAACCAACTGGCTGGATAAAATGGATAAAAAAAATTGAATTTGACTGGATAAACATTAACAAACATTAATACAATTTCTATGACATCTCTATCTCTATTAAAATATATAAAGTAACCAGGATGTGGGGAGACATTTTAGGCAAGTTTTACAACTTCCAAGAACCTTTCCTAAAATGAAAGTTGCAGGAGAGGCATGCAATATTTAAAAAAAAATATATTTAAAAAAACCATGACCAGCGCATACTGGGGGAAATTTATCAAAACTGGAGTAGACAAAATCTGGAACAGTTTTGCATAGTAGCCTATCAGCTTCTCCAGTTTGTTCAATTAAGCTTTGAAAATGAAAGATATAAGCTGATTGGTTGCCATGGACAACTGCTCCAGATTCTGCATGCTCTAGTTTAGATGAATTCCCCTCACTTTGTTTTCTTGTGAGCATTAACATCTGCATGGGTAACTGATTGTCACAGTTTTAGCCTTATGCAAGTATAAAAAGGGTGCAGCAATAGGTTTGCACTGTCTTTGGATACCATAAAGATGTAAAATGATGGTTTATGCTTAGTAACAGGTTCTCTTTGTCTCATTTGTGGTGATCTATTTTTATTTTTGGAAAGATTGCAGAAAGGTTACAAAATCACCAGGACAGAAAAATGAAATCTCCCCAATCCAGACAAAGTTGATAACAACTATTATTATTATTATTATTATTATTATTATTATTATCATCTCTTCACAATTCTACCCCAACCTACAAAAAGAGTTTCAGTTTAATGATTGGAGGTGACACTGTTTTAAAATGTACAGTATACAATAAAAAGCGTGTTTTATCCTTTCAGGTGGCGCATCCTCTTATACGGGCTCAGCTGGTGGACTATATTTACAATGGCTTTCTTTTGCCAGTAATGGCTCCTGCATTGCACAAGGTCAGTTTGAATTTGCTTAAAATATTTTTCTTGATCTGCAGTAATGAGCACTTCCAAAGGTTGCTGGTGCAGTAGAGACCTGCAAGGCCGGATCCTTTTCTGACTTTCTTAGCTGTAAATTTATGTACAGCTAACTTAAAGTGACAATAAACTCATGAATGAAATCTTAAAGATACATTCAAGTACTTTAACTATTAACAAAAATGTATCTTATTTGTGTATCACTCAGCTGTGGATGTTCAAATCATCTCTGAATTGGTGCTGACACTGTCCTTCCTTCTGGAGGGTGGCTACTTTTGTTCCCCATGATCCCTGTGTGTGTGTTGTAAATTAGCCACCGCTCCAAACTCGTTCCTGTGATGGACTACAATATCACGCTTAGTTTACTAATTTGTATTGAGATTGTAGTGTATCACAGGAGTGAGCTTGGAGTGGTGGCTACTTTACAACACACACAGGGACCATGGGGAACAAAAGTAGCCAACCTCCAGAAGGAAGGATAGTGTAAGCACCAATTCAGAGATGATTTGAAGAACTACAACAGAGTGCTACACAAATAAGATACATTTTTGTTAATAGTTAAGGTACTTGAATGCATTTTTAAGATTTAACTCCTGAGATAAGTGTCACTTTAAAGAGGAATTATGGGGAAGGTGCAATGCACATCCCCATAATTAGTGCCGAGGTGTGACACTGCAGCTCTCACACGTAAGCTCTATTGATCGTGAATTGAATGATCACATACTGCTGATCGTTCATTTCCCAATCTTCTCCCTGCAGAAAGTGGTGACTGTCAGTCACCGCTCTCCCTGCAGGGATTCCCCATTCCTCCAGCACTGATTGGAGGAGAGGACGGGGGAGGGGCGGGCACAACTGGCTCTGCCTCTAGAGAGGCAGAGCCTGCTGCCAATCAGGCAGCAGGGTGGATCCCGATATTATTTTAGGAACCGTCTCTGCTGCATCACGGCTCTGCGCTGTCAACATATAGCAGGCAATAACCCGCTATATGCTGAGTTTTGGATCACAGGAGGCCATAAGTACATGTCCTCCTATGACCCTAAAGAGAACATTGGCAAAAAAAAGGTTGGACCATAGTTCACTTTTAAGTGTATTCATAGACATAACAAGGAGGATGGATATCCTGATGAAAGATTTTCTCATAAACATGCATGCTTGGACTGTCCTAGTATGGGTGGTCATAGCTATAGAGCGAACAGGAGAAAGGGCAGAAGGTCATCTCTTTTGGCTAAATTATCCACAACGGCCAATTCCTATATCACCGAGGTCAGTAAATTGGGGATATCTGTGGAGTTCTGCTGCTGCTCATCGACATGGGTATCATTTCATATCTATTGGTGTTTTAGGCTGTTGACATGTTGCAGGCTCTCCTAATCAGCTGTTACATGCAGACAGATTTAAGTGTTTTGAACACAAGATAACAGAGATTAGGGAGTTTAAACACTGAAATGTGCTATAATCCGCTAGGACTCCTTCTTGAATGACAGAAAGTGAAGTACCTTTGTTCTGCTACAGACTCCAGAAGTGTGATCAAGCGATTCATTTAGTGGCTATTAAGAGTGTTCTCTATTATGCAGAAAAAATTGACCTCGTCAGCAGCAATAATGCTAATACCATGGCTCAGACGACTGTGTTGCCTAACGCAGTTAACCCATGACCATTTTGTGAAATAAAGATCTAGAGTTGCTTTCTGCAGTGTGTGAATTCAAAATCTTTAAAGACTGATTCTTTCTTGGCATATATTTTTTAAAATGTCATCTTGCCATGTACCGACAGGTCTTTTACTGCATACAGCACTACTTGTATTTGCCATTTTGGGACAGATAGAGCTTTTTTTTGGTGGTATTTAAGCACCACTGTGGTTTTTATTTTTTACTATATAATAAAAAAAGTACCGAAAATTTTGAAAAAAAACGTGTTTTCCCTAAGTTATGTTATAAGACATTTCTCAGCACCCAATTTTTGGGTAAAATATAAAAGACAGGGTCACATCCGGTAAATAAACCAAACATGTCAAGCTTTAAAATTGCGTGCACCCATGAAATCGCAAAAAACTATCATGACTAAAATTGGCCATAGGAGACGCTTTAAAAGCTTTATCTATCTATCTATCTATCTATCTATCTATCTATCTATCTATCTATCTATCTATCTATCTATCTATCTATCTATCTATCTAATAAATGGATTACCTTCTAAAAAAGTACAACATCCAAATTACACACAAAAAAGAAAGAAAGGGATTGCTTCATTCGAACCATAGCGGACTTTAATGGTACTCAAACGACATGACTTAATTAAAATTTCTAAATTTCATTTAATCCATAACATTAAATTAGACATCAATATGTTAAAAACAATGGCATAAGAAACAATCTGAGAAATGCTCCCGTCTGCCTTAGTCAATGTGTAATAATTTACAATCAAAAAGCACAAAAAAGCCTACTGGCGAGAGCAGCAATATCTATCTATCTATCTATCTATCTATCTATCTATCTATCTATCTATCTATGTAAAATGTACTAAATGTACTAAATGTACTAATAATCTTAACCAGCAATGAGATACTGTGAAGTGTTTCGTGATTGGATTAATTTTCATTACATTTCATGACAAAACTATGCAAACACTTGCCCAGAAAAAGGATTATTTTAGCAATTCTGTAAGCTGCCCCTGACATGAATGAGTTATTTGGCTTCAACCTTAAAAACGTAAATGCAAATATTTCCAGATTGCTAGATAAAATACTAATAAATGCTACAAGTTGTTATTGCTTGAAATGACACATCTAATTGTTACCTAGATATACAGTATTTACATCCTAAATCCTAATTCTGTCCAAAGCTATTTTTCTGTATCATTCATTTGGAGACACAGGGCCAGTAGAATACTGAGACAATTGGGTTATATTGCTGTCTATAGGAGGAACTGGACACTGGAGAAACAAAAAAGCTATTGGCCAGCCAAGTGTAAACCCTTCTACTACGATGATGCTTCAGTTTTTGCTAGTGTCCTAGAAAGATTAAATATTTTTCTGTTCCTAATATTTTTATAATTGTTTTCTTTAATTTCACTGGAAGCTGAGCTAATTATGCAGCTACCTGGATCAGCTAATCCTTGGCACCGTCTTAGAGGTTATACGTGGACCCTACCATGATAAAGATGCGGGGGCCTGTCTGTAATGTGACCATCCAGCACTGGGCTCTGCTAGGGGGTCTATTAGACTGCTAATGTCATCTATGGACCCCAATGAAGCTGATCAAGTACAGATCATGCTTAGTCAGCTTTTTCTCCTGCCACAGCAACTGGGAAATGACAGCTCAGAAACCAGAAATTATTAAATCTTTATTGCTTCCAGCTTCATTCAGCGGAAGGGTGATCAGCGAATTAATGTTTGCTGATCTCCCAGTGCTCTACCTACCAACACCTGCGTCCTTGGTCCACAGGAGGAGCAGTGAAGCCCATATAACATTGTGAGGGTATTCAGTCATGAAGGAGGGTGGCACCTTTGGGCATGTAAAAGTGATTGGGTACAGCCACCTGATTCACTTCTTCCTGAAAAGCCGACAATCTGCTGAAGGATCCTGGCACAGACATAGTGCTTACATCCCTGGCAGTGAAAGGGAACTGAATGATAAATATATAAACAGAATTTTTGTACTCACCGTAAAATTCCTTTGTTTATATGGTGACACAGGTCACATCCCTCCAGAAGCATCATGGGAGTGGGAGAGGTTATGCTTGGGTGGTCAATGTTTTTTTTTTGTTTGCCAGCTTCCATTTCCTTCTGTAGGCAGCAATATAACCCAATTGTCTCACAATTCTACTAATCCTGTGTCCCTTAACAAACTTCAAAAGTCAGATTTATGGTGAATACAAAAATCATGTTGTTTTTTTTTTTTAGATATAACAGTGGAGAGTTAGAGCATATTTGTTTTTAGTGATGCCTCTCTCGGGACAATTTCCCCTCACATCCCATCAGGACAAGAAGTAATGGGAAATGAGAACAAAGACAAAAACATTAAAAATTGCTTTACGATAAACACTGAAAAAATACGTTAAAATACCCGCTCACAAATACACAAGTAGATCAGGCATTCCTCCAATCCTTTCCTTCCCAGCAGCAAGCTGCCTTATCTGCAACTCATTGGTAATTCATAGTGATAGCAATATCTGATAGTATTCATACTATACAGTGGTAATAGAGGTGGCTGTAAAAGGACCACATACAGTATGACTACATCAAGCTCTGTGTGTGCATTTTATTCCGGTATCGCGTGCCTGCAGCCCACACCACACCGACTCCTCCCTTGAGCTCTGGTCTGGGCTCTCAGCCACCTGATCACAGGCAACACCTGACCTCAGGACTGGAGATTTCCTCCCACCTAGAACTCTAAGAAATCTCCAGAGATCCAGATCCCAGCTACAATAAGGAAAAACCAGAAGAAACTGAAAGGCCAGCTTCTTCCCTGCAAAACAATTTAAATTCTGGATCCTCTCAGGCTCCTTCTGGCTGAGAGTCCTCGGTGATTGTGTTGCCAGCATGCTCCCTAGCATTGCCATGCACTGCCACAATATATATATATATATACCGTAATTAGCAACTACCACCATTTTATTCTATAGTGTCTTGGCATTCAGAAAATATATAATGTTGGGGGGTTTTAAGTAATTTTCAGGCCTAAAATGTGGAATATAACATGGGTACAAAAAATGAAAAAAAGGCCTCAGTCATGAAGGGGTTAATACGAGTGATCTCGTTAGATCACTCGTATTAAACGAGCAGTGGCTCCTACTACTCGCCCGGTGCCCGAAACTGCATGTCTCGGGCGTCGGGATTCGCTCCATAAGACGCAGGCACTTTTTCCCCCTCCTTTTGGGGGGAAAAAAGTGCGTCTTATGGAGCGAAAAATACGGTATATATATTGTGGCAGTGCATGGCATTGCCAGGGAGCATGCTGGCAACACAATCACCGAGGACT